CCCCACTGAGCCACCCCACCCTGCACCCACACACTAACCCAGACCCCCCCAGCTGGCACCCGATGTGCTAACCCTCCTCGCTTGCACCCACACGTTGACCCCTGCCAAGCTGCACTGCATGCACACAGGCCTCCCACCTTGCACCTACAGACTGCCCCTGATCCCCTTCTGGCGCCCTATGCACCAAAACCCTGCCCCTACGTGCTGACCCCCCTTCCCCTTGGTACCGTGCAGGCCCCCGCCACCTGGGGGGGCCACAGAGCTGATGCACTGCAATGCGGTGCTAGGAGAGGTGGGTGCATACTGGGGTGCAGGGTGGGGGGATGCAGGGGGGCTAGGGTGCCGTAGCATTTGTGGTGCAGGGCCCAAGCGGAGTGCAGGGGTGTTGGGGTGCAGGACCCAGCTGGGTTGCAGGCTGTAGGGCACAGCTGGGCTGCAGGAGGGCTTGCAGTGCAGGACCCAGCTGGGGTGCAGGACTGGGTGGGGGTGCAGGGGCTCGGGGCTCACCTGGCCCTCAGGGAGGTGTGCCCATGGTAACACCAAGTCCCTCCCACCCTCCACTTTTGGGTGTTCCTGGGCATATGGGTGCTTCTCAGGACCTGGTGGGGTGGGGGGAGCCCCAGGCACAACCTGGAGCTGTGGCCGAGCCTGAGCACATCTCCCCTGCGAACTGGCTCCATCGTCCTCCCAGCCCGAGTACTTTTCTTGAGCTTGCACCTGTGGCCCGTTTGCAAGGCAGGCATGATCCACCGGCTGCAAGGCCCTGGCCTTTCCTCCCCCCTCAGGGGGGTGTCATAGGCCAGTTTAGACTGGCCCAGGCTGCGCTTGCAGGCAGACTCTGATCTGCTTGTAAATGCTGGGAGCCGCGGACCCGGCCACTTCAGGCTCCACTGCAAACAGCGTAACCAGCAGGCAGTGGGACACCAACCCAGCGACTGAGCTGAATCACGAGGGGTCAAAGGCAATGTTTTCTCCCCCAGAAAAATCCACTGCTGGCTAGTTTAGCCAGCAAGTGCAACGCACCAGCATAAAAGAGTGCCCGATGGAGCATTTAAGCAGCGAACGCATCCAGGAAGCCCTCGCTGCAGGTTATAGCAGGCTCACAGCGATGGGAGCTGAGCTGAGCAGAGCTGCTCTGCACCCCTGAGCCTGGGGCATCCCGGCAGGCCAGAGCTTTTAACCTGGCACTGCAGGACTTGAGGGGCCGCGAACACTGCTAGGAAAAGGCAACCAGCAGAAGAGGGGGAGAGGAGCACGGCAAGGGAAGGCCAAGTGGTGGGCAGATGCCTGGAGGGGAGCTACAAGTATGCCTCCAAGCAAAAACCACTCAGGCTGCTGCTCAGGGTGAGGACTGACCCCATCAGACACTGAGAAGAGCCGCGTGCCTTTTGCTGCTGTGAGCAACAGGCAGCAAAACCCCCTTGGCCCCCTCACAGAGCCCAGCACCCTCACACTGATACACGAGGGGCTCGGGGAGCAGGGGGACAGGATCTGGGGAAAAAATACGCAAAGGCACAGCAGGGCACGGCAATCCTGGTGTCAGTGGCACGGGGCACACAGCGAGGTGTCCGCAAGCAGCCCAGAGCCGCAGGGCGAACAGAAAGGTCTTGCCCAGCTCCTGGGAACAGCTCCCTGCCGTGACAGGGCAGAGGGACGGTGCGGGGCC